CTTTTCCATTTCCATTTCCCTTTTCCCCTGCCCTTTCCTTTTTACTCCCTATTTAAAATTTTTATCAGCAAATCCCTTTGACTTTTATGTTCAAATAATTTCATATGATTGACTGTACTTCCTGCTACTGTTCTGGCACAGTTGTGTTTGCCCGTTGTCTGGATTTTAGCAAAGTCTTCTAATTTGTAATCTGTTCTCAGCCAGCAGCTGCAGTGACTCTATGTAAGTCAAATTCAGTCATTTCTTTGCTTTTCTCTCAACAGTACCAGCTCCTGTAGAATAAAAGTCAAAAGTCTTTCAGTTTTACACAGTTGACTTTGATTTGAAACCGTAAAATCTTACTCTTCTCATTGCTCACTACCCTCATCCTAACAGTTGCCCACATTCCTTGCTATGTTCTTCAAGCATCCAGGTTCTTCTGCCACATTGTCTTTGTGCTTGCTCTTTACTCTTCTGCTTGTTGGGGGCTTGTAGATATTTGAGTGGCTCATTCTTTCATGTTATTGAAGTGTTGACTTAGAGCCAGTCCTGTTTAAAAATTTTTCTTCTGCACTGATTACTATGTAATCTATAATATATGTTAATATTAGTTTAAAAAATCTGTTAGGTTAGGCTTATTTAAAGCAAATTACTCAGATGTCAAACAGAAGGGATTTTAGATGTTTATAAATTTATTGAAAAAATTGGAGGCATGGAACTTAGCAACCAACATTGAAACTGGTGGGGAGCATTTGATGTTTACTGTATAGCCTTGTATATGGTAAAGCCCCATGTCTATTCACTACAATCAGAAGAAGAATAATATGGTTTCTGTCTCTCATCTGCTTTCAAATACTGTGCACATGCATTGCATTGGTTGAATGTAAATCTTTCTAGAATCCTATGAGCAAAGATATTTGCAAAATGAAGTCCTCATGCTTTTGGCTTTTGTGATACAGAGGAGGGCACAGAAAGAGGTAAGAATGAATAAGATAAACACATCTGTATCTTTTGATATGGATAAGTTAAGCAAATACACATACATACTGTATTAGTCATGGTTCTCCAGAGAAACAACCAATAAGGTGTCTCTGTATAAAAAGGGGGGATGGGTTGGGGATAATGTGGAGTAGGAAAAAACAATGGATTTATTTAAGGAATCTGTGTCATGCTACCATGACAGTTGGCAAGTCTAAAATTTGCAGAGAGACCAACAGACTGGAAGCTCAGGAAAGGGTTGATATTATAGTTGAGTCCCAAGGCAATCTCGTGGTAGGTTCCTCAGTCTTTTTTCTTAAAGCCTTCAACTGATTTTATGAGACCCACCCATTAAATAGAGGATTATCTGCTTTCTTAAAAGTCTATGAATTTAGGGCCCTCCCTGGTGGCACAGCAGGTTAAAGCACAGCACTAAGCAGCTTAAGCCACTTCCACATGAGTTCGATTCCTGCCTCCCAGCATTAGATCCACATGGCTTCCCGCCTGCCCGGGAGGAGATCCACATGATGAGGCAGACCTCTCCTGACCCACCTGCTGCTCCTGTACTTCAATCTGTGGAAACTGGTAGGGGAGCATTTGATGTTTACAGCCTTGTGTACTTCGTCGATCTGCCTGTTCTGCTCCCTGCTCTGTCTCTGGTGAATCCTCTCACCCTCCGCATCTCTGGCCTGTACCCCAGTTCTATGTGAATAAATAAATTTTAAAAAAAGTATGAATTTAGATGTTAAGGATATCGAAAAATACTTTTTTTAAAAAAGTTACTTTTTTTTTTTTAAGATTTATTTACTTATGCATATAAGAACTGGGGTACAGGCCAGAGGTGCGGGAGGTGAGAGGATTCACCAGAGACAGAGTAGAGAGCACAACAGGCAGATTAACTGAAATAAGCAGCCTAGGGGAGCATCAGACAGGTCAAGAGAGGTCTGCCATACCATGTGGAGCACCTACCTGGCCCGGGATCGAACTCATGCTGCAGTGGCTGCCAAAAGCTTCATAGTGTTGTGCTTTAACCTATTGTTCCACCAGGGAGGGCCCTTGAAAAATACTTTCAACACCAAACAACCAAATTAGCCAAGGTGACACAAAATTAATTATCATATTCTTGTCAAATTTGCATCCGTACATACTTCCTTAAACCATACTTGTTATGGATCGAGTATGTTATGGACCTTGTTATGGACCTTCATATGTTATAGTTCTGAACCCCAGTACCTCAGAATGTGGCTATATTTGGTAACAGTGTGTTTAAAGAGGTAGTTAATTTAGGTATGAACTGATGCATTATGTCTGATGTTTTTATAAGTAACTTGGGCATAACCATGTATAAAGGTAAGACCATGTGAAGACCAGAGTGAGAAGATGGCCATCTACACACGTAGGAGAGAAGCCTCATAAGAAAGCCTGCTGGTATTTTGATCTAAGAATTCTAGCTTTCAGAATTGTAAGAAAATTAATTTCTGTTGTTTAAGTCACCCAGATTGTCGTACACAGTCAACACTTAATGTTGTCAGTAGGTTCTTATAAACTGCTACTATATGTGAATAATTTATAACAAAAGCAGGTGGGCTTTCAACATCAGCTGGAATTGTTCCCCCCCATCGACATTATAATGAAATAATATTGAACAAAATGATGCTTTTTGAAATCTGCTACCTTTTCTATGGCAGCGTTAGCAAATCAGTATTATATTTAATTTCAAAAAATAACTTCCTTGGTCATGCCTCCAAATGTGTTATATCTGTACATGTAATATTAACACTGAACATTAGTCACCAAACTATGCCCTACTCCTCTATTTTTATAAATACAGCCTGTAAATACTCATTTGTTTATATATTGTCTATGATTACCTTCACATTACCACAGCTGAGCTAAGTTGTGATGGAAATTTTATGGTATGCAAAACCTAAAGTAAAATTACTATCTGGACCTTAACCTAAAAAATGTTCCTGATCCTGTGCTACCCATAAGTACTTCCACTTAAGTCTCTTTTTAATAAAAGAAAAACATGAAAGTAATGACGCCCCCTCATTAGGTCGTGAATTGTCGGACATGGAGTATAGGTGCACACAGTTGAAGATACCAGTATATGTTAAAGATTGAAATTCTTTCAGTCTCAATAATGTAACAGTCTTCATCTTTTGAGATTAAAAAAAATGTTGCTGTGCTACTGATAGACTAGTGGGTTTACATTATCAAGTGTTCATTTATCAATGTGAATGAATTCCTGGTCACTTGAAAAGACAAACAGCACCTTAAGAAAAGGATCAATATGAAAAAGCCAGAATGATTCAGAGGAAATAGAAATTATTTTCAGGACAGAAGATCATTAAACAGCAGAGCAATCTATCTTGTGTATCTCAAGAGATTTAAAGAATGCTACAGTCTACAAGAACAAGTTACCTATATAATCGGGGATAAGAAAGAAATTTTAATTTTAAAAAATGGCAATATTAAAAAGACAGTGGGTGGGTTGAGGAATAAAATAGACTACATACTAAGTTCAGTGATTGAAATAAAGTTAATAAAGACCTAGGACACAAAAATACAAATAAACGGAAATTGAAACTTCAAAATGAAATATAGAATCATTGAGGTCCAATATTTGCTTACTACAAATTCTACCAAGAAGAACAGAGAAGAGTAAGGACAAAATACTTAACAGAAAATGTGGCAGGAAATTTCCTTTCAGTCTTCAGACTGAAAAGAACTTGATTACTCCATGGTAATCAAGATGACCGCATTTCAACAAAGTTTTTGTGTGATTTATAACTAAATTCCTGCATGTTTTCAGTGAGGATGAAAGAGTAATATAGAAACCATTCATTGGTCATTTTTCTTCTTTTTTATTATTTTTGGCAGCAGCAGTTTTCCATACTACTATTGTCTCTTAAGCAAGTTGGCCTTTGAACTCCGACAGCACCTTATTTGAATGTCTTATATGTAATACTTGTGTTGTTATTTATTTATTGAACTACATTCCTTTGCTTGGGAAGCATGTAGCAAAACTGTTAAAAGGTAGAGCGGAATGGGAATTCTGTTGTTTTCAAATCATGTCCGTGATAAAGCTGTTGAATTTTTATCTTATGTTTATGTCTCCTGCATATAACGTCATCAGAACTGGATAAAAATTGGCTTATAGAAAAGTAAGGAAATACTTAGAATATTGAGGCAGGGAGTAGCGACCTTTTTTATGTTAAATTTAATAATGTCTCAAGATGAAATTAGCGGTTGTCAACCTACTTCACAAATGTCTTATAAGCCAGTAAACTTGTAGAGAGAGGGTAACTGTTGAGGTGAATGAATTAAGTCTGGGGAGTTCTAAAATCCATTATTTGATATCTACTGCCCCTAGTGGTCTGATGTGATCTCATAATGATAGACCTGTTCTGCTGTCAATATGTCAACTACCCAATTTTCATCAGTGGGAAAATTGATGGAATAAAACCAAAAATTAGGGTTTTTGTTTTTCCTGTCATATCTGTTACTTTGTTGTATATTCTTATTTATTCATATGTGTGTGTGTGTGTGTGTGTGTGTATAAGTATAAATGTAAGGTAACACTAGCTTTTAAATTATTGGATGAAAGCACGTGTATTTAAAATTGTCCTATGGAAATTCTTCTCATTTATATTACCACAAGTGTGTAAGAATACCTGTTTTCCTACCTTTTCTCCACTGCTGAGTGTTAGCACACTTTTTTAGTATTTATCAGTGAGATAGTGAAAAATATATACTGAACTTTATTTTCATAAATTATTAGTAGATTTAAGTCTTTTCAAAATTTGAACAATTCTATATGTCATTAACTTTTCTGTTCACTTAGAATATTTCTTCTTCCTTTTTTTATCTGAACCATTATCATTTTTTCAGTGCTTATTGCATTGAATTCTTTTTTCCATTATTGGATGTCCCAACAACTTTAGGTTAACATGATTTTTCCTTCCTAATATACTTAGAACTTTATTTTCCATTTATCACAATTTTATGCCAGTCTAATACGTATGATTTTTTCCCCCCAGGAATATCAGATTTACAGAATGACTAATCATTAACGGAAAGAGAAGTATAAACCTACATCTTTCACTATGGAGGCAGGTTTGGCAGATGGTGAACCTGACCGAACTTCGGTGAGTGGGTCAAATACAGCATAAGGTACTATCATCTATATCTGTAGAGTATGTGAGGTGTAAGCTATGGTTTTATTTTTTTAATGTACTTAAAGCTTTAAGAAAAGCATTCTAAAATGACACTTTAACTTTTCTTTTGATATAGTTTGAAACTTGAAGTACAACTTAATCATTTTTCTGATACTTATGCTCATTTACTGCTCCTCCTTTGCCTTCCCAGCCATTGAAAGAACACTCATGTAATTGTAATTTTCCTAAAAAAGAAAAAAAAACTTCTTGTCATAGCGACATCAAGAGAATCTTAATTGTTGAGGAAATTAAATGCCTCCAATTCAGAAATCATGTGCAGATATGAACAGGTGGAGGGCAAGAACCGTTAAAATATAAGAATAATAAGAATAAAGAGCTGTTGTAATGTGTATTCTTTTTATAAAAATTCTTTCTGCAGAATTCATGTTTAATAAACACTGCTGCTTTGTGATTGTGATTGAAATTAGAGTAAATAAGGAAAGATAGTAAAGTTTACCTTACTCAATATGTAAAAAATAAAATTCCCCAGTGGGTAAGTTAAATGATGACTTGTCATTACAAAAAAAAAAATCTTGCTCCAGAATAGTATCATTTTCAATTCTCTTATTTTTGAAGAGAGTCCATTAAATACTGGTTTATAGGCTTTTTATTAGGAGTGTTTTATTACCTTAAGTAAGGGTGCCACTGGGTAAATGTAGTAACTTGGTAACTCTGATTTGCTGGGTAGTGGATTTATTGGCAAAGTTACATTGTTAGAATTATGCAGAGACCAACTTTTTAAGTAATACTGCTATGGAATTGAGAGTCACTGTTTTATTGAAGTGTTTGTAAGTTTTAATTTAATGAATGTCCTTTGTTTAGTCTCAGATCTAATAGTTTAATGATTCATAGCAAAATGCAGTTTTGCTTACTTGTGTTAACTGGATTTCAACCTTTCTTGAATTTTTGTTGTTGTGTTGTTTAAACTTGTCTAAGATTCTGTAGTGGTGAAAAAAAACTTAAACTTTAAAATGGTAACTTGGGAATAGGGGGTATCATAGACATGGAAATAACTTGGCTTATGAAGAAGGTTATTGTCATGGTGATTATTAATGGGAACCCAATGGTAGGTTATTTTATTTTCACTATGGTTTAAGAAAAAAAGTTAAGATTAAAGCCTTGTCTTAAAATATGATGTTTTTGAAAACTTACTTAAATTTAATGAACTTTCTGATTTTTTTTAACTGAAATACATTTATTCTCCTGGTGATGATAAAAATACCATTAGTAAGTTGCTATTTTCTAAGTGTACACTTTGTCAGAATGACTTCATAACAGCCATTAAAGGTAGATATTTGTTTATCCTCATGTTTGTAGATAAATAGGCTCCGGCGTGTTAATTATCTTGTTGAAGAGTTCATTAAGAGAGTAGTGGAACTGAAGCCTATCTGAATATTATTTTGCACCAGCTGTTGACTATGTATTTTTTTTTTTTAAAGATTTATTTATTTGTGCATACAGAGCTGGGGTACAGGCCAGAGGGTCAGGGGTGGTGAGAGGCTTCACCAGAGACAGAGTGGGGAGCAGAACAGGCAGATCTACGAAGTACACTGCTGAGGGGAGCAGCGGGCGGGCCAGGAGAGGTCTGCCACACCATGTGGTCTCCTCCGGGACAGGCGGGAATCGAACTCATGCGGAAGTGGTTTTAGCTTCTCAATGCTGTGCTTTAACCCGCTGCGCCACCAGGGAGGGCCGACTATGTATTTTTATTAAGAGAATTGCTTAAAAGTGTATTCTTATCTTTAAAGGTTAACAATAAGTAGATAATATTAAGTTCTGTGCCAGAACTTAATGCACTGTATTAATAGTTTTAAATACCTTTTATTCTAAAATCTGTTACTGTTGAGAGGGTAGAATTTTTTTTTTAAGTTATTTAAGTTTCTACGAAATACTGAAGCTCATTTATAGAGAATCCTAATAATTTCATTGTGAAATACTTCGTATTTGAAACTGATCTTGAGGTACACTTTTGACTAGATTACCTGTTACCAAAATAGCAACTTTTAACTCATTGGCCAAATCTGGTTACTGTTTTGATCTAGGAAAAGTGGATTAAAAAAATATGTGCTTTGTATACATTTAGCTACCTAATATGAGCTCTGCTGGTTTGCTTTGTAAACTGGATTATTAAATTCCCTAAGTTTTCCCACTTATTAAATATAAGTAATAGTAATACCAACCTCCCAGGCTTGTTTTAAATTTTAAGTGAGATAATATTCTTACTCTAGAGTGCTGGTTGTAAAGCTGGGTGCATTGTAAATATCTCCAAAATAAAAATTACTCTTATTATTGCTAGTGTAACTATTATCATTAAGCCTTTTCTCCAAAATGATAAATAATTAAATCCGGGAGAGGAAAAAAACACATTGAAAAAACCTAAGTTATTCATTAATTTTCGCTTTACACTTTCTCTGAATTTCAGTTTTTCTACCTTAAGCACTAAAACAAATATTTCACTTCAGTAGAAAATAATAGACAATAATACTAACCCTACCTACTAATTGGGGACAATATGATTTAGTGAAACCAGAAAGTTCTTTGAAAAGATAAATTCACATATCAATATGAGGTAGTAGTGTGTCTTTAAAATCTGATTGCTGCACTGCTTTTTAAAATATAACTAGCAAGTGTTTTTTGAATTCATGTAAAATACTTTGCAGGTGAAGGCAATGCTACGATGTCAACAATTTAATCTGTCTGAATCACATTTATTTGGAGGATTGGCTAGATAAGGCAGTAAGAGGATTTACTGTGTATTAAATGAGGAGCATAAACCAAGTGTAGTTTACAAGTTGTGAAGATTGAGTCCTTGCTGCAATGCTCAGGTAGTTAGAGAAACTTTCTTAAGAAAACAGACTTTGAATAAGGTAGTAGATGGGGGATTAAATGATCAAGATGTATTCAAGGAAAAAATGAGTAAAAAGTTGAGTAAGATAGACTGGAAAGGGGGAGTGGTATTTATAGAAATAACGATTCATGTAGCTGAAAGAGATCATACTTGAAGAGATTTGTAGTGCCTGACCAGGGATTTTGAGCTTGATTCTGTAGACAGGTATGTCATTGAATATTTTATGTGGATAGATAATATGAATCTGAAAATATGGTATAAAATGACTTGGAGGCATGAGAGATGAAGATGTTAGTTAAGACACTACTATAAATGCCTTGCTAAAGGTAAAAGATTGAACTCAGCCTTACTTTACTGTCCAATCATTTAATTTTCTTCCATATAAAATTACTGTTACTATTTTTGAGAAATTAATTTGCTTATTAGTCTAGTTGTGTATAGTTCTATTATTTTTGTTAGTGTGTTGGCCCTAGATAGTAACTCCTGAAAATATGGATTGAATCTCTTTATGTGGCCCTGATGTACTTCAAAATACAAGCAGTATTCACTATAAATCTTAAAAATTTTTTAAGTTCAACATTTATACCATTTTAGAAATTTATAACCAAGAAATGTTTAAATCTAGGAGCCCAGTGTTTACTATTAGGTTGAGGTAGACTAAAGAGTGAAATGTCCTTTAGATTTAAAAAAATGGAGTATGTGCTTAACCTTAATTAAGTACTTTATCTTTAAAATATCTATTTTCTGTTACTGGAGAAAATAGTTTTATAAGGTATTTTTAAAATTTTATTATATAACTGACTTTTTAGAAGAGAATAAAAGTTTTTAAAATATGTATGAGTCTTTGTAGTATTTTAGGGGTTTTCAAATTGAGAAAATCTTAAGATTCTAATTTAAATTGGGTACTTAAATCAAAAGTTCTGCAGTGAAAGGAAGTACAAAGATGATTTGGTGGAATAATTCTCAGAATATAGTAAATGACCATTCTCCTGATGGGTCTAGAGATAATATAACTTCCTGAAACTTTGATTTTTACATACTTCCTTGGTGAGTTTTTAATGATAATTGTGACTTAGTGCTTATAAAGTGGAATTGTATTTTATTAGAGTTTACTGGAAGCTTTAAATCATACTCTCAGAAGTGTGACATTCAGCACTGTCTAGCCTGTTTTTATGGGCAAATTAAAAGAATTGTACCAGTTTTTGATGGCATTAAATTTTATTTTGAGTGGATCAGTTTCTAAATGTTGCTATATTTCTTCTTTTTATAAATACTATTAGTTTACGTTCATCATTATCATCATTGATAGTATATGTATGTTGCTAATGCTAGCATATTTTTGGTGTACAGTTTCCAAATAACTGGGCTTTCAGATATTTATGCCTTCAAGTCCAGTTATAAATTATCCATATGCCACTTACTAAATGTTTTGAAACATAGTCACTTGTATAGTGGCACTTGGTTGTTATTGTTAGATTATATCCTCTCTTTCCCTAGAATGAGAAAAGGATGAGGAAGAAGGACTGTGTCATCTCTTGTTTCATTTATAGTAAATGGACCATGGTTAAAATTTGAGGGGCACCAAATTTGGTGTGTGTGTACACACACACATTATATGTATATGTGTGTGTGTGTGTATATATATATATATTTTTTTTTTTTAACCTAATATTTGAGTAACTTTTGAGAACTGCCTTCTGAGTGTTTGGCTAATGTTCAAATACTTACGCATTTTCTCTGTAGAAGCCATTGTGTTTTCCTTTCTAGTTAATGAAGATTATGTTATCAGCAGAACCTTTTGCAAATCTGAGTCCATCCATGGCTACTTTCCCCACTTTGTGTTTGTGAGAAACTTCTGAATATCTATTTTCTATAGATAATTTTATAAAAATGAGATCATAGCACACAAACTTTTAATTACCTATTATTTTTTAAGATTTATTTATGCATACAGAATTGGGATACAGGCCAGAGATGCAGGGGTGGTGAGAAGCTTCACCAGAGGCAGTGGGGAGCAGAACAGGCAGACTGACAAAGTATACTGTTGAGGAGAACATTGGGCAGGTCAGAAGAAGTCTACTGCACCATGTGGATCACGTCCAGGGATGGGATTGAACTCGCACCGACTTCGCAGTGCTGCACTTTAACCCGCTGTGCCACCAGGGAGGGCCTGATTAGGTTATTCTTAAAGAACTGAGAGGTCAGATCATATTTGCTAACAGTGACAGGCTCTATTTCCCAGAAAAGTATTCCTTTAAAGTGTTTTCCAGTAAAATTCAGGGATAAAATCTGCATTTGTGTTTTGCAGATGATTGCAAGAATATGAAAAATTCAGTTGAGTATGGAGGAGAGTGATGACTTTTGTTGAGAGAATAAACAGATCACAGCTTCATTATATAATTGTCACTGACATTTCTTATTCTGAGGGCCAAAGATAACACTAAATAGAGCACTCTTGAGATGTCTCAGATAATTCTCCTGCAGAATTGTGGTTTTTGAAAGCCAGGTGTAGGAAGGAATACAACTTGATCAACTTTATTTAGGGAGAAGAGATGCCACCTGCTTGAAACTTTATTTTTAAGTTGTACCCATCAGTGCTTGATAAGCCCTTTGTACTTTGTTTCAGCTCAAAAGATGACATTAGTCAGATCGATATGTGTGCTAGAGGGAAGTACTGTATTATAGGCAATGGAATTTAAAAGCTGTATGTCATGGAATTATAGGATAGCCATCTGTATTGCATTGTTCAGGACTGAGTGTTTTCTCAGGATGAAGGATGTGATTATGAACTTCTGCCTATTCCTTTACATTACTTAAAGGTTGCAGGTTTTATGCCAATTACAGATGGTGTGGCAAACTATTGGAAGTACAATAAAGAGAGTACATTTTTGCACAGTGTCCTTTTCCTAAGATTTTTAGACTAAACTCAATGAAGTGCATGCTTTTAATTATTGTACATTGTTAGTATGTAATGAAACACAATTAGTAAAAATTGTAAGCATTTTATTATTTTACTATTTTCAACCCGTATCTTTTGGCAAAATGGAGAATTTCTTCATATAATAAAAGTATTAAGATAACTGGATTTTGTCTAAGGGATAATAAGAAACAAACGTGGTGAATTACTCAAGTAGAGAAAATGTTTTTCTGTCATGTCTTAATGTTTTTTTCTCTAAAACAAGCTGAGGAGAAGGTGTTGTATATTCTTTGAGATTCTAGTATTTTGGTTCTTTAGCAAAAGCTGAGTGACTAGCTTTTAATTTTTTAAAATATCTTATAAGCTCAGTAATGTCACATTGCACACTGTACCAGATCCCAAAAGTATTAAGAATAAGAATCAGTATGTAGACTAGCCAAGTGCAGAAGATGTGTGATGAGAGTTATTTGGTCAAAATGATATGTAATAGCTGAAAACTTCTGTTCCATTTCTTATTAGCATCATTTGCAAGCAACAGTGGGAAAATTTCATTTGTATCCCTTTGTAGTACCTTTGTTTCCACATCCTTTCTGGGGCGGGGTTGGGGGTGGGGTTCTGAATCATGCTTATTTTTTATGTTTTCTGCTTTTAGTTGGGGTGTTTCCACTTGATGTTCTGTTGTCTTTGTTTTTAGAATCTTGTGATTAAGCCATTTAGGTCATAATCATAACTTTCATATATATCATAACTTACACTGTTTTGTTTCTCTTTCTAGTTCTGTGTGTCCAATTTCCTAGTTGACATTTTGACTTGGCTATACAGCAGGCATTTCAAACTTCACCTGTCCCAAACTGAATGACTTATGCTTTTCTCTGTAAAATAGCTTCTCTCACTAATACTTAAGTCTCACATAATAGAAATTCCATCTCTCCACATGCTCAAACTCACAACACTCAACGTAATATTAATTCCTGTTTTTAGTTTACCTCATATGTGGCCTGTTTTGAAATCCTGTTGGCCCTACCTTCATATTATATTCAAAAGTTTACTACTTATCATGACTTGCACTGCTATCCTCTTAGTCCAGGTCTCCTTCATCTCTTCCTAGATTATTACAGTAACTTCCTAATTTATTATGTCATTGTCCTTTTGGTCTCTAGTCTCTTCCCGACTAGTCTAGAATAACAGCCAGAGGGAGGCTATTAAGACATAAGTAAATTGTGTCCTACTCCTTTACTCGGAACCATTCTCCATACTTGTTCTCCATCATGTTCAGAATAAAACCAAAGTCTTGAGTAGGCCCAATGAAGTCTTATATAGTGTGTTACCCATTAACTTATTTGACTTTGCGTACAACTCTCCTACTTGCTCGTTGTATTCCAGCCTCTCTTACAACCTTTTAACTTTTCCCCAAACATGCCAGATGTGTTCCCATCCCAATCCTCTACTTTATACATATTCCTCCCTCTGCCTAGATACTCTCCCCATTTATGTTCTCATGGTAAGTTCCCTCATTGTGTATTTAATCAACTCTGAATAGAGTAGGAAGACTTAGGCTATCTAAAATTTTAACTCTCTCTTCGCTGACATTTTATATGTTCCCACTCTGCTTTTTTTTTCCTTTGTATTTATAATACATAACATGATTCTTTTTTTTTTTTTTTACTATTCATTATGTTGTTGTTTATCTCTCCCACTAAAATATAACCACATGGCACAGAATTTTTCATTTTTTTAATCCCTGCTCTTTCCATGCTAAAATGATGCCCATCTACATAGGAGGTACTCAGTAAATATTTGGGTAGATGGATGGATGGATCAATGATTAGAATAGATAGTGTTTATTTCAATATTAATCTAAAAGAATCAGATTTGTATAACATATACATGCTTCAAAATAAGCATTGAATATCAGTATAATTTGAAATAAATAGAAGTTACTCTATATGCTAGGGATAATTTTCCTGGGAGTACACAGGTAAGGACTACTGCTGCAAAGAAGTTGGCATAATGCTGTAATTTGAAACTATAACAATTATAGAATGAAAGTGAAATTACTTTTATTCTGAATAGACCAAATAGTCTGAATACTCTGTTTACTTATAATACACCAACTCAGAAACCTCCAAATATCAAATATGACCAACCTTGTGAAATTATATTTCTCTCTTTCTCTCTATCCTTAGATCCACTGCTTTTATTTAGACAGTTACTGATAAGTCTGGGGAACTAGTAACTATTCATATCAGTACAGAAAGCTTTCTTAGTAGATGTTTGCCAAGTGAAGTTTGCCACAGTTGTCTCTGTTAGTTTCCTAAGTTATTTTGGTTTTCCAGTATTATGTTAATTATTTATTGGTGTACAACAAATTATTCCTAAATTTAGTACTATAAAGCAATAGACATCTGCTACCGGGGCTGTTTATTTTGGGGGTGGGGGGTGGGGAGTGGGGATAGGAAGGTTAATACAGCCAATTAAGATTCCCTCATTTCTTTTAAATAAGACAAAGCTATACTGTAATCATGTGAATTTTGTTGTTTTAGTTTTAATATATTATCATACTTAGTAGTTGAAACAAAGAGACTCTCTACAAAGGGAGATCAAAACAATGTCCATAGGCAACATTTAGCATAATGTTTAAATAGTTACTTGACAAAATATCAATGGTCTTTTTTGTTTCTTTTAGTTGAGTGCAGGTTATTTCAGAATTTTATCTCAGATTTCCTAGAAAACAGTAGTAATCTCAGATACTTGATATCTAATGGGTCCTATGAAAGTTTTTGTCTGACCAAAAAAAAAACTTATCTTTCTAATCAGTTATACTCTTTGCTTTTCTGCACTTGAGAGGGAAAAAATGTTCTTTGTTGATGTCTTGTTAAACTTCGCACAATGCTTGGCATGTAATAAGCACGCAGTAGCTGTTCCTTTTTGTAGAAGAAACAGACTGAATAAATCTCTATGTAGTGTTAAGTGCTTTTATGGCATGCAGAACTAATACATAATAGTGCATGGCTGTTTTATAGTTTTATGCCATTTGAATTTAAAGAATAAATGACTTTTGGCCGTCCCTTACATCTCTAAATAATTTTTATCACTCCTAAACAATATCTTAAATTATAAGTGAAAATAATTTTTGAAAATTTTCAAATCAAAAGAGATCACTTGGGTGATTTTTATTTTTCTCTTCCCATCTATGTTCCAAAATTAAAACAAATTTTTGATAATGCCTGAGATCTTTTTTAAATGTGGAAAAGGAATTTCCTTGCGAATTACAGTTTTTAGGATTGATGTGCATGTGCTTCCTACTTATAAACTAATGCTATTTTCCTTGTCCTTTTGTTTCACCGCTGCTTCCATCCTGATGCGTTTTGCTTCTTCCTGGTTTGGATTGTATTTGTTTGCTGCTCAATTACGCTGCATTAAAAGCTTCTTGGTGATAGCAAAGATGTCCTTGGGCCATCAAGTAAGTAGCTAAAGTTTGAATGGCATGTTGGGGACATGATAATATTTTGATGTGTATTATGAAAGACATATGGTATTTCTCCTTTAATTATTAAATCTTTTTATTGTTCTTTCCAGACATTGAAATATAAAAATAATGGTTATTCATTGCCTGTATGTTGTCAGTGAGATTGACAGACTGATTTAGACAGGCTGATTATCTAAAGATGGGTTATTTAATCATTTATCTAACTCATAATTTAGGGCCTCTTCATAATAATTTCTTTCAACTGCCATCACAAAATAATACAGATTACTTTGAAGTGGGATACGGTACCAAAAAAATTCATGATCAAAAATACCCTATTTTGGGGTCCTAAAATTCTATTTGATATACTTTGATTTCATAGTAAAACATGACTAATCTTAAGGCTGTAGAAGGTATATCCTATAAAGTTGTGTGTGTACAAAAAAAATATGTTTGAATAGTATGCTAGCTTTGGGGGGTACACAATAAAATGTATCCTGCTCTTCAAGATCATTATAGTCTAGCTTAGGAGTTATACCCATGAATAGATAACTTCAAAGCATTGCAGTTAGGGCAAATTCTGTATTAAGTATCTTAGAATTATTGAGGTGACGGCAAATTTAGACAGCATCTAATGAAGGATTAATTTTATAATTAAGAATCTATAGTTAAGAACTTAAATACCCAAGGAGCTTGTATTGGTTACTAGCTTTTTCTGCTGCTGGTTTTCAAAAATGAGGACAAAACTGTCAGTTGGCGAATTCAAGTCCAACCAAATTTTCTGCATCATAAAGCAAATGAAGATGTTAACTTTATCAAAGGTTACTTTACTTTCACTACATAGTACAATCAGCAGAGGGCACTATCATGCTGTCTTTAGTAGGTGAGGCGTTGGTTGCAGTATCAGAAAGTATACTGGGATAAGATGTTCAGTGATTCCTCCGATCTATCCAGTCATTTACCAGGTGTTGTCAGTTTTATGCCAAAGGCTCTAGATAAAAACAAAATCATTGCCTTCCCTGAGTTTATATTCATATGTTTGTGAATGTAGTCTGAGAAAACAAATAAAAATGTGGGACTTCTATTTTTTTCTAAAGGAATACATTCTGTGTATTGCTATTTCTGCAGTCCCTCTCACTTTAAGGTTAGCAACAGTAATATCAACCCAATCAACAGAGCTTAAAAAAGGGGGGCGGACTAAGTTTACACTTCTCAAACTGTTTTCCTTTTTGCATAGTTGGAGTAAGAAACCTATTCCTACTAATGGACTACTAGTGTAATATTATGTATTTAACTCATAAATATGAGTTGTAGTCTCATAATTTTAAATTAGCCTTAAATGTACTGTCTAATACTATAAAAGAATGTATATAGCATATGTAAAAAAAAATATTCACGCAAGTGACTATGTTGAACCTACCACTACACTTAAGAACTTAAATCTTACGGATATGTCACACCCATGTTATGTGTTCTCTCTGCAATGCCTATGCCTGCCCCCCAGAGGTCACTTTTTGTCATTGTAGAATAGGTATGACTCGGATTTCCATGTGAGAATTACTTTCTGGGATTTTATATATGTGTGTATATACATGTATATATGTACATATATATAATACATTTATAATATAGTTATATATAAAAGTGCACATATCTTTTTATTACTTTAAAAGTACATATGCAACACTAAATTTTGCTGTTTTTAATTTTTTTTATGATTTAAAATGTTATTTATGTTAATAGTAATGTTTGCCAGACATAGTCCCTAGAATTCCTTCCATTCTGTCTTTCTTTGTGGTCAAATAATATACTGTTGTGTGAATATGCTACATCTTGATCAGTCCTCTTATCAGTGGGCATTTAGCTTATTTCCATGTCCTAACTATTATAAATAAGTACTTCAGTTAACATTCTTAGTGTGTGGAATGAGGCTAGGGGTCTGTTATTCCAATACCGATTATCAGTTGTTTATATTATCAATTGAATTGTCTTTCCCTACTTCTACACAAATATATAGGCTCTACATATGCATGGGCTTGTTTCTGAGCTCTCTGTTACGTTCTTTAGGTTGGTTTATCTCTTTCTACATCACTTCCAAACACTTACTTTTAGAAATAATTTTTTAAGAATAAAGTGGATCTTAGATTTAATAAGAAGGAGCCTCTATAAGCTCTAATAATACAGTTTCATAAAATACAAAGCTATTGATTTATACATTCAAGAAAATTCTGTTTAATACCTTTAATATGGCAGGAGCTATACCAGGGTTTGAAGAATTATGGGATAAGCAGACAAAACTCCCTTCTCTTTTGGAATTTGTGATTTTTTTTCCCGAAAGATGTATTTATGCATACAGAACTGGGGTACAGGCCAGAGCTGTGGGAGGGGGAGTGAGAGGGTTCATCAGAGACAGAGTGGGGAGCAGAACAGGCAGATCAACGATGCACACTGCTGAGGGGAGTAGTAGGCAAGACAGGAGAGGTCTGCTGTGCCATGAGTATCACCTCCAAGGCCAGGTATCCAGCTGACACTGAAGTGGCTGCACGAACTTGCAGTACTACATCCTAACCTGTTGCATGCAATTTGTGATTTAATGGAGAAGATAGATAAACAAGTGGTATAATTTAGGTAATGATAAGTTCTGCAGCGAAAATCACATGGGCTAGAGTCCAGCAAGATGGCAACAGAGTAAAGACACTAAGATACCTTCTCCAGACTCACACAACAAACTTGCAGAAACAAAGCCAAAACCCCTGAGGGAAAATCTGATTATCAGAACATACCATAGCAGCTTCAGCCCAACAGAAAGGGAAAATTTAAGTGAGCTTTAATGAGTGTAATAGTAAGGCATTACAACCCATAAGACAGACAGACCCTACTATGCAGAACCCTTCAACATAAGGGCTCCTGAGATCTGGCAAACTAATGCATAAGGGCTTTACCAGCAGGCATTACTGGAGACTAGCAAAGGTAGGGACACTGAATAAGGACATTGGTTTTTATCTGAGACTCCTAACACTGGACCATGTAGTCCAAATTGGGTCAGAGCACCTGGATTTCTTACAGAAGAGGTTACTACTGAAGTCAAGGATGAAGTATCTAAAATACCTTGGGGTTGGACCCAACCCCAAGGTGAGATGACCATTGTCACTCCTTCTGTTTAATTTAGTGCTAGAGGTTTTGGCCTGAGCTATCAAACAAACACAGGGAATAAAGGGAATCCAAGAAAAGAAAAGTAGCTATCACTGTTTGCAGACAATGTATTATATATAGAAAATCCTGAAGACTCCATCAAAAAGCTATTAGAAACAGTGAATGAATATAGCAAAGTGGCAGGCTACAAATTAAATATAATAATCCATACTTTTTAAATATAATAACCAACAAATAAGAAGCAAAAGATTTTAAGAAAATAACTCCATTTATAATTGCTTCAAAAAGAATTAAATACCTTGGAGTGAACCTAACAAGTAAAACAGACTATACATTGAGAAGTATGAAATATTACAGAACTATACATTGAGAAGTATGAAATATTACTAATAATTCTGTATAAGACTAAAGGTCTTATACAGAAATATAGCAATAAATGCTCTTGGGTATGGTGAAACAGTATAACCAAAATGATTGCCCAAAGTGATATATAGATTTAAACAATCCTGTCAAAATCCCAGCAATATTTTTCAAGGAAACTGAATAAAAAATGATGAAATTTATAGAGAAGCACAAAGACCTCAAATTGCAAAAACTTTTCTGAAAGATAACCTTTAAATATAGACAACTATTTCCATATCACCCTGAAAACAACTGATTTTCTCTGAATGCAGACAGTAGATGTTGAGAGGAGACAGTAACGTGAAGATCTGGGATAGGAGTATTCTAAGTACAGGGAGCAAGAGACTGGGGCAAGATGGCATATTTGGAAGAATCTCAAAAGGCCATTATGGCCAAAATCAAGTACCAGAAGAGTAGTAGTGAATGAGATTGGAAAGGTGAGGACAGATGCTCTGGAGTCTTTAGGCCATGCATTTTATTTTCAGTATATTAGAAAGCCCTTGAAGATACTTCTGCATGATGCACATAAGATTTTTGACTTAGAATGATTGTTCAGGCTTCTGTGTAGAGAATGAACTACACAATCAAGGAACAAGACAGTAAGTCTGGATGGAGATCATGAGGAAATCTGCTGTGACCTAGTGGTAAGGAAATGGTTTGTAATAGCATAGTGGCAGTTTGGAAATGGGTAAAGGTAGTTGATAAATTTTGAAGGTAGTGTCTAAAGCTCTCACAGATGAATTGTATATGAAGTATGAAGGAAAGATTTAACAATATATCTTTGGCTTTTGACCTGAGAAAATAGTGGGTGGGAATAGTGATTCCACTAAGTAAGTGACTGGCTGGTTTGGAGAAAAAACAGTATCAAGAATTATGTTCTGGGTGAATTTGTGATGCCTGTTAAATATAGCTGTAATTACAAGGCAAGTAATTGGATAAGAGTTTGAACTCAGAAGGAGATACAAGTTTAAGGGTCATCACTCTAGACTTTTAATGGACCTGAAATGAAAAAATGATTTTAAATACCTTTATCTGGGTAAGTGAAAGTATTTTTTAATTTTTACTTTGAAATTTAAGAAGCAGAAATATAATTTTGAAACCTAGTTAAAAAATTTGATTCAAAAGTCATGGTGAAAACAGTATGAACATGATGTTTTGACTAAGTCAAAATAAATAGAGGTAGACAAAATCATTCTTAACATGAAACTTAAGTTTTTGTAGGCTCGAAACACAGAAACATAAAAGGAAGGATGTGGAAATCTTAAGGCACTGTCATTATTGCTTATGATTTGTCCCATTCCTTCACTAAGTATTTCTCATTTCTTTCATCTCTGAAATTGGGCTTTGTTTTCCTCTACTTGTGGCCTGTCAAATGGGAGGATAACAGCTTTCAAATAATTTAAATTGATTGTTGGTGCAGCAGGCTTTTAAGCAGACATTGGAACCAGAAGGTCTTGAATTAGAATCTTGCCTCTATGCCTCAATCTTAGGACCTCAAGTCTCTCAGCTCTAAAGCAGGAATCATGTCTACTTTACATAAAATTTAGAAATCTGTAGAAATTCCAGGAATATAAACTATTTTATGTTGCCATTGATTTGTATGTTTTTTGGCTACTAATAAGTTAAATATCTTTTCATATATGTTCACTAGCCTTTTGCTTTTCTTCCGTGAAACGATTTATGTTTATTATTCTATTAGCTAATGTAAAGAGTTAAAAATTAATCACAGTGAAAGGTTCATAGTAAACCTTGGCATACCTTTCGTTAACAGTTGAAATATGTTGTTTTATAATGTATAATTTGACTCATGCATGTGTATATATTCCTCCCAAACTGATGGCAAACTATAAAGAATATAAAACAATTGTGTGAATTTATTGGAGTTTTGAGTTAGTGAAATGATTATAACTACTGAGGCTTTTTCAATCTTAGGTCTATTCCATGTTAATAACCATGCCATTATATAAATATTTGGCATAAGTGCTTAAGTACTAATTTTTATTCCCTTCTTTCCTTGAGCTGTGGTAGCAAACAGTGAGGAATCTCAACTTCTGACACCAGGAAAGATGAGTCAGCGTCAAGGGAAAGAAGCTTATCAAACACCAACCAAAGATTTGTATCAGCCATCTTTTAGTCCAGCAAGTCCTCATAGCCAGGGTAAGAAGTTTTGGTTTTCATATTATTTTGGTGGTGGTGGTGTGCTTTCTTTTAAGAGGAGAATGACATTTTGGTGTATCATACCTTTTTTTTCTTTTTAACTGCTTGGTTTTATTGTTTGTTTGTTTTTTTTAAATTTTGATTATCCACAATAGTCCTTTAAAGTCCTTTAATTTTTCTTATATTCTCCAGCATACTTGGTTAGTTATAGCATTCTTCTAATTCACTGATTCTCAAACTTTTTGACCTCAGAACTATTTTCTACTGTGAAAGTTGCTGAAGACACCAAAAGAAATTTGTCTTATTAACCCTTTGATACTTACTCCATTGTAAATTAAAGCAAAAAGTTTAAAAATGTTTATTATTCACTTAAAAGCCCAATTATAAACCCACCACATGTTAGTATAAATAATATATTTATGGAAAATAACTGTACTTCCACCTCAAAAAAAAAAAAAGATGAGACAAGTGTTGTTTTTTTCCCCAAGGGTGTCTCAAAAGTTAGTACTTTTGACATTTTGGGCTGGATAATTCTTTGTTAAGAGGTTTATTCCCTTTTTTGTGGTATTTTTAACAGCATTCCAGGCCTTACCCATTAGACGATGCCAATAATGCTTTCCCCAATTTTGACAACCAGAAAATATCTCTAGACCTTGTCAAATATACCTTAAGGGACAAAATCATCACACTGTGGGTTTTTTCCTCTTCCTCCTCCTCTTCCTTCTTCTTTTTTTAATTTTTACAAGACTTTAATGTAAAGCTTTTAAAAAGGCTTGAATTTTTTTATTATCTGCTTCTGTAATCAGTCTGTAGTTATGTGATGATTTGATTGAAGTGTATGAATAAAATATAGCCTGACATTTATGTGTTTGGAAAAGGAAAATCTCGTTAGGAGCTTTTATACGTAATGATGGATATTCCTTTTTGATAATGTACCCAAATTTGACAAGTAGTAGTTTCTTAAATGTTGGTTGCCAATATGGAATATAAAATGTGACTCTGTCCCTACTGTCAAATTTCCTATCCATGGATCTGTCTTGAACTTGAATGATTTATGCATGATTTTGGAACATGCACTAGTCATTTAAAAAAAAAAACTGAATTACTTAGATCTATCAAGTTTTGACACATTTTAAAACAATCAAAAAAGTGTCTTTTACACACTTATTTTGTCACTGAATATTAAGCCATGTGTATTCAAGGATAAAGATTAATTTTTTATACTTCACGAAGGATTTCTAAATGAAACTGGCCTTTTACAACAAGTTGCATTCAAGTGAAGAATTCAGTGATGAGTACTACTACTACTACTACTACTATTACTACTACTACAGTTTGATACCTCTGCAATGATTTGTGTAAAACTACCTGCAGTTTTTACCTTACAGTGTTTTGCACCATCAGAAAAAATTATCAGGATAATGAGAATGTATTATGAAACTAGTTTTGACTTCATATCCTCTAAAATAGTGTGGGGGGACTCTCAGAATTCATGGGATCATACTTCCTAGTTTGTAATTGATGAGTTTTATATATGTGATTCTGCTTAGCTAAAGCATGGATAGAATCAAATGCTTTGATAAAGGCAATGGAAAGCCTTTTGCTTTTAAGCTGTGAACTTAAATCTGGTGTTTGAAAGTTAATATATACTTAGACTACTAAGCATTTTTAAAAATTAAACATAGAGTCAACTATTAGATTGTCTGTATAGCCAAGTCTGGTTTTGTTATTACCTTATATCCTTGAAGTTAAACTTTAATTACATTTTAGAAAATGAGGACTAACTTGTAAATAGTAAGTTACATGCCTATTTCCTACTTAAGTAAAAAATGTTTTTCTAATCAAATGTTAGAGGGAGACATTTTTATATAGCACTGTTGGAACTGTTAGAACTAGAAAAATTTATCAAGCAAGATAATAATTAACATTTGTTGCTTAATGGTTGAAAATATTTTTGAGAAGTTAACATTTTTTGCCAGACCGCTTTTTTGAAGCCTGAAAATGGAAATCCGGTACATATTGGTATAAATAATTTTCACTAAGATAACATTTTTAAGGATGCAACTTACCTGGTTTTTCCTTTCCAGAGTTTTGACTGTAGTAGATAATGATTTATTTGATTGCTGTATCTTATACTAGATTATTTAGAGGAATTCTTTAACTTGAAACAATATAGCAACAAGATTTAGTAAGTAGTAGTTAAATATATCCTCATTTACAACTATCATGAACATTCTCAAACAAGCAGAGACTTTCAGAGAATAGGACAGTAAACACTAATATACCCGTTATGTGGATTTTAAGAAATTCTTATCCTTTTTATTGCATTATTTTATTATTGGGGGAGTTGGGATGGAATATTGAGAATAAATGATAGACCTCATGATGTATATTAATTGCATCTCTAAAAATCAATATTTTCTTTTGTAAGCACAAAACCTTTATTATATCTAACAAAATTAATAATTATATTTGTTACACAATCAGATTTCCCCAGTTGTCCTAGGTCTTTTTACAATAGATTTGTTGAGATCAGTATTCAAATAAGTTTCATACATTGTATTTGGTTGTTATGTCATTATATCTCCTCTAATACTAACGCTCATCCTCACTTTTGTTTTCTATGATGCCTTTGGCTTTTTTAAGAAACTGGGTCAGTGACCTTAGAGTGTGTTTGGTTACTTTCATTTAATCAGCTGCAGCATTAAAGGTTGAAAACATTTTCTAATTCAGTCATGCTTTTTACATTTGCTGCTGAAATTTTCCTGTAAGGAAGAACTCTTAATAATCTAGGTAGTAGTTGATAAATGTTGAAATGTAAAATTTTGACAGGAAAGACAGGAGAAATGGTTTCCTCCTAAGTAACAGTTTTAGATTATAGAGGTGATACAAAGTCTATTTCCAGGGAGACAAATTTTTTCGGCTTTGATTTTTTAAATATCATTACATTTCAGTCATTGGTAAAATCGATAACAGTATTACTAGCTCATAGGTTTTTATAAGGTTTAAAATGAGTTAAAATATCTATAGAACCTCATTTGATGTCTACCGTATCACTCTTGATCACTATTTTTATCTTCTGAATGGAAAGAATTCGAGTTTCAATAAGTTAATGACAATAATGACTAACATTTGAAGGTATGGCTCTTCATTGTTTTTTTTTTTTTTTTAAAGATTTATTTTATTCGTGCATACAGAACTGGGGTACAGGCCAGAGATGTGGAGGGTGAGAGGATTCACCAGGGATAGAGTGGGGAGCAGAACAGGCAGATCGACGAAGTACACTGCTGAGGGGAGCAGCGGGTGGGTCAGGACCACACCATGTGGTCACCTCCGGGGCAGGTGGGAATCGAACTCATGCGGAAGCGGCCTTAGATTCTCAGGGCTTTGCTTTAACCCGCTGCGCCACCAGGGAGGGCCGGCTCTTCATTGCTTTTTACATGTATTAACTCAGGGCATCATTACCTTTAAGTTTCAACCAGTATGGTACATATATTTTTTGAGGCTCAAATTTTTCAAAGTTTAATACTGGCTGCTATCTTTTTATTGTTGTTATTAAAAAATTTTTTTAAAAAGATTTATTTATTTGTACAGAACTGGGGTACAGGCCAGAGATGCCGAGGGTGAGAGGATTCACCAGAGACAGAGTGGGGTGCAGAACAGGCAGATCGACGAAGTACACTGCTGAGGGCAGCAGTGGGCGGGTTGGGAGAGGTCTGCCTCCCCATGTGGATCTCCTCCAGGGCAGGCGGGGATGGAACTCATGCAAAAGTGACTTAAGCTTCTTTGTGCTGTACTTTAACCCTCTGTGCCACCAGGGAGGGCCAGGCTGCTATCTTTTGATATGACTTCATTGTGTTCTATCATGCTTTACGTAAAGATTTTTTTTCATTACTTTTGAGTAATATATAAGAGTACAATTATGAAGTCCTATGCTGATGTAAGAATGGCCAAACTCTTTCCGATAGTAGTTGTATAGTTTTATACCCATTAGCATTGTGTAGACATTTCAGTTGTGTTATATCCTTGATCTTTTTTATTTTAAGCATTTTAGGATGTATTGGAGTGGTTATTTCATTGTGGTTTTAATTTTAATTTTCTTAATGACTTATTTTCTCATTGAACATTTGTATATTTAAAGTTTCAGTTCAGAATTTTTCTCCATTTTTCTAATTTGTCTAAGTTAGGAGTCTGAGGAGCTCTCTAAGATTTCTGTATTATCCTTTGCTAAATGTGTCTGTTGCATTTTCTCTCAGCCTCAGCATTTCATTGTCTGAATGGTTTCTAGCAGAATGTGGATATTTTTAATTTTGTTGAATCCCAGTTTGATAAATTTTCCCCATATGAATAAGTTACATTTTTTTCCTGTTAAAGAAACCTTTTTTTTTCTACCATAAGGTTACATAAAACATTTTTTGTTTTTTCTTGAAATGTCTTTCAAGAGAAACAATTTTTCTTGAAGTTTCAAAATGTCAGGGGTCTTATTTCTTTCTTCATCTTCACTTTCACTACCTCTGTCTTAGGTCAAATCTTTATCATTGTATACCTACATGCAATATTGTATACCTAATAGAAGGTTACATAGGATCCTGCCTTCTTTTAGGAACTTGCACACCTATCCATGAGGTTCATCCACCTTAACAAAACGACCAACCAAAAAATTTTGTTATATGTTGAGGTCAGATTATAATGGGGATGGGGTTCTTACTGATGTATGTGGCCAGAGAATAAGCAAATCCTTTGAAGTAGGTCTCTGAGGAAAATAATATGAATAAAGAGCAATAAAATATTTTAAGAGCCACTTCTATTACCTAAACTTATAACTGAAAGCTAGATGTCTGCATTTAGGCCCCCTCTCATTCTCAAAAAGTCAGTGACTGGATGTTGTGTAGAGCAGTGGCTCCCAAGCCTAACTGTGTCTTAGATTCACCATGGAGTTTTGCTTAGCTACAGATCCCAGTCCAACCTTTCAGAATCCCCAGGGTGAGGTGTACTTTACA